TGTGTGTGTGTGTGTGTGTGTGTGTGTGTGTGTGTGTGTGTGTGTGTATACAGCTTTACTTTTGAGCACCTGAAGGCCTGTTCATGAGCTGGAATCTGCACCCACAACTTGCCTAAAACTTGGCACGTGAAATAAAGCTGGATGCCTGAGGGATGCCTGGGTACTGCATCCAAGCTGGGATTTTTTGGCAGTTCGATTCTTTGTTGCTCCAGAAAGCTTGTTAAGCATCCTGCCCTCAGCCCCTGGTGTTTTTTTTGTAATGCAGAATAAAGTGATAATGTGCCAAGGATGTCACCGAGTAAGAGCGATTATTCAGGATGGGATTACTTCGTTGTGGCGGTGTCCTCTGCTCTTACTCTTCCAAGGAATCGCCATCTGCTGCCACAAGACAGTAGTCTTGCTACAAAGATGCTGAAGTTTATTGTAAAATGTTCGTTTTTCCCTTCCTGCTTGTTAGGCTCCTTGTGTCCTATAGCCCCCACTGACATCACTGCTTTGTTCCTTGCCGCCATCCTCTCTAAATTGCATTTCCTTGCAGCTCAGCAGGGAAAGCGTTGTGCTTTGGGATGCTGTCATGCTTCCTTTCTATCTACGTCCTCCAGGACAGCATAAGAGTTGGCTGTTTGGGTTCCTGTTCCAACAGCTATTAATTGCTCCCATAGCTTCTTTGTGCAATCTCTCCATATGCTCAGCACAAATTATGTTAGATCAGTGTGTCAGAAGTAAAACTTGGGATTACAGTTACTGCATCTGCAGAAAAATATTTGTTCCTCCTTCCTCCACGAATTTCCTTAACTATTTACGCAGTCTTCAGCTGAAATGGGAGATGAGTTGGATAGCCCTTTTTGGTTCATTGTGATAGTCTTAATTTTTGTAGGCAAAACCAAAGTCCCAGCAGAGTGGATGAGTCTAGAGCATTTTGGTACCTGCTTCAAATGAAGGCAGGTTTGTATTCTAACCTCTGTGTCTTCATTCTACGCTGAATATATGACTGTAGGTTGCTGTTATCCTATGACCACAGAAAGTATGTGTGAACTGAGAGTCTAAGAAAAGGAAAGAAAGTTTTTTTTGTTTTTTTTTTTCTGAAGCCTGTAATGGTTTACTTATTGCAGTGTGGAAAATGGGTGAAACTTCAGCTGGCTGAATCAACACCAAATTTATTAGAAATTGGCAGCAATCAAGACGAAACAAAAAAACTGCTACAAGATCATGAACTCCTCCTCACTAAACTTAAGGTAAGATCTGATAAAGCAACACAGAATTATATGAAGTCATTATAGGTGTGTGGGTCTGCTGTTGTGATGTTTCTTAGTTAACTCCACACAGAAAACATAGCTTTGTATTTGTCAGTGTAACAGATCAAATTTAAGCCTATACACTGAAAAAATATGCTTAGTGACAACTGATTTTGTGAAAACTGCAACAAAGATATGATATTTTCCACTTCATTGTCAAGTGAAAAATTCCTACAGTCTTCAATAACTGCTGAATGCAATGAACTATCACACTTTTTATTTATTCTCCAATGGTATGAAAAGTTTGATTAGAATATAATAACAACTGTAAACACAACCAAGCATTTTGGAAGTGTGAACAAGAAATTTGAGGTATGTTTACACTGAATGCTAATTGAAGTAAGCTGTAGTAAAAATGAAAACGTAGCATTGGCTATTACTTGTCTTGAAATAAGATTTTAGCTGATTAACAAGTTAAAGTCAAATTATAGCACTTCAGAGAGCAGAATTTGGACATAATAACATATTTACATGGATAAGTTTAATACTGTATGTAGAGAATATAATCTAATATAGTACATAATATGAAATTTGTATAACATGGAGAAAAACAGTACCACGGAAGAAAATACAGGAAAAAAACAAACAAACAAACAAAATTGCCACTAGATAACACAGAGGGTGATTCCACTGTATTTACTTGTGCAAATGCCTGATCTTTATTGCCATCTAACAATGGTATGCTTGGAACCAGGTACTGTACTTGCATTTGGAATTAATTTTTAATAGTCTAAAAAGGATAAAGATGAAGCTAAACTCTTGTGCTCCAGTCCAACTACCCCTCCTACAGTTCTGTGGAGTAAGTAAGAAATATCAGAGTAGCTTACTTCTAAAAATGAAAGTATTCATCACAGAATCATAGAATGGCCTGGGTTGAAAAGGACCACAATGATCACCTAGTTTCAACCCCCCTGCTATGTGCAGGGTCACCAACCACCAGACCAGGCTGCCCAGAGTCACATCCAGTCTGGCCTTGAATGCCTCCAGGGATGGGCCATCCACAACCTTCTTGGGCAACCTGTTCCAGTGTGTCACCATCCTCTGTGTGGAAAAACTTCCTCCTACAATTCCAAGTAGTAAACGTCTTGTATCTAATCTTATCTTAATGATGATTGTTTCTATGATTAATTCTTGATGAGTAGGAAAAGCTGCCTCATTGCTTATCATCTGCCTGTAATGTTTCAAAATATTAGGGATTTACAATGTAGCAAGGGGAAAAAAAATTTCTACTGTACTTCATTAAAAGGAAGAGAGGATGTAATATTTACAAATTGATTTTTTTTTTTTTTTTTTGAGCTGCAAATAGTTCACAAGACAAAACAATAGTTAAGACGTGATTGTCTTGGATCCTCAAGGCATAATTGCAACTGTTGTGGAATTTTTCAGTCACCAGAACAAAGTAAAACACTGTCACAGCTTTGAATATTTGGTGGTGGTGTTTGTGTGTGTGGTTTCTTTTTCTTTTTTTTTTTTTTTTTTTTTTTT